TTAAATCCTAAATGTGTTTACATATCATGTTATTGTAAAACTATTAATTTTAAGTTATGTAGTTTGTTTTTTTTTGTAGTTTTAATTTATGACAATAAACTTAAAAAACTGATGAATTTTTATACGGTATTAAAAAAATTTATAAATACATACCAGAAAGTTGATATCATATATACCTTAATATTAAGTATGTATAAGATATGAATATATAATCTGCTCCTCTTATAATTTTGAATATTTATTTTTTTAATTTTTTTACCGTAATTTGCGTACGTTGAATGTTGATTGTCCGTCACTAGGTATATGAATTATATTATATGGTACACCGTTTGATTAACTACAAAAATGTAGGAAGGTACTGGAGATAGTATACATTCAGGTCCCACCCCTGGTATATTAGATCACATCCGAATCATCCGATAGAACTTTTCTTCACCATATAATCTGTAATATAATATATATATAAAATATATACAAATATACTATACATTTATACATGCGTTCAAATCTTTATTCTTCATCATAATTTGTATGAAAATGTCATGAACATACGGCACATAATATATTATATTATATTATTATTAGATTGTAGTGAATGCTCATCGCATATAGGAGTTGTGGGTACCTCGATTGTAATCTAGAATTTTCATGTTTTTATTCTCAATTAGTATTTAGAAAACCAAAAATATTAGTTGAACACTTATAATGAACATGTTCCCGAAAAAACGTAAGCTTGAAAAAATCAAAGTATAAAATTATATTTTACAGGGTAAAATGTACGTGACTTTAATTTCACAAAAATATAACGTCTAAAAAAGTTATTACTTTTCAAAATAAAGAAAATTTCTGAAAAATTAAGTATAGAGAAGTTCAATCTATAACGATTTAAAATCTAAGTTCCAAGTGCAAAATTATTTACACAGATACCTACACCCACAGGTATCGTTAAGCTTTTTTAAATAATATATTTCTAAAGCATATAGCCGCGTATAGAGGTACATATAAACTAAAACTTTAAAATGACATATTAGTGAAAGTAGATTTTTATTCCCCTAAATTCACCAAATTAAGTTCATACAATTAGTAAATTACTGAGTAATTATTAGTAAGTGACTGTTGTCACTTAAAAATGGAAAAATAATAATTAGTGACAACTATAAAACTCTTAACATAATTAATATGAATATGATAGAATTATTATTGCTTTCGGTGTGGGACAGGGATTATTGGACAAATGGAGTGGCCGTCGCCACCTGTGTGACTATATATAAGAACAGTAGAAGGCAGAAGCCGTATAAAAGTCCGTATACAGTCGTCTATTGCATAAACAAACTAGTCTAAACTAAAAATCAAAAATATTAAAAACTAAAATTCATTACATTTTTCGAATTAATTTATTGGCAGTAACAATGGAATACCAACCATTGACAAACAATTAAAATCCACATTTAAAAAAAAATTAATTTGGACATATAGCTTGAGCCGTACACTCGTTCCAGTGAAAAAAAATAGAGATGCTCCCCTTGTGCAGCCCTCCCCACTCCATACACGCTAATTCGAGCATTGATAAGTGATTACAGATAATAGTTTTAATATCTAAACTATACAGTAGCCAGTAGGTATAGGAATATAATTTTTAACCCATTATTTATACAGCCATATTTTCTTTATGATATTATAACTAGGTATTATAATTTATTATTATATGACTTTGAACATTTTTATCATACTTAAGTACCTATTACAATATTAAACCTATATTATTATTATTTTTCGTTACACTTCAAATTCCAATTTAAAAAAATTCAACGTATGACATAGAAATATATGAAAACAATTTTAACTGACAAAAATAATACAAAATTTCAAATATATATATAGGTAATAGATATGTATAATATATTTGAAATTTTGTATTATTTTTGTCAGTTAAAATTGTTTTCACATATTATACATCTAGAGGTTTAACATTTTTGAATAATGCAAAATGTATTTAATTCTATAGTCTATAAGTTTATAAAATCGTGTTTTAAAAGATACCATTTTATAGGAACTTTCATAAATTTATTAATATATTAATGTATGGAATAGATTTAATAATATCTAATGAAAAATTGTCATATAAATATAATAAAGGTGTCATAAAGTTCAGCAAGTTCAATTATTTTAAACTGCAATTTAAAATATTGTTGTACAACAAAACCAATAAAAGATATTATGTACAAACATATTTTATATATATACCTAACCTATATCATTGTAACTTTGTAAGTTAAATTATATATTCAAAGCAGTGGAGTAGCCAGAATTATGAAATAGGGGAGGGGGTGTGTTTAAGTACAGATTAAAACCAAGTTTTTACAGTTTTCGTATATAAATAAATTTAGGGTTCGGGACTTGACTTGTTGCACTAAAAATTATCGAATTATGCAGTCAAAATTGTCAAAATATACTTAAATATATGCAGCTACATTTTTATATTATTTTTGAAAAATTCATAAAACATATAACAATTTTGGTAATAAAAAACTAAAAAATAAGTAGGTATATAAACATGAAAAAATAATTTATACACGGGTTAACTAGTTTTAATATAGCCTATATATAGGTACTTATATTGATTAGTACATCGGCGGAATTATGGGGGGGGGATATGGGGATATATCCTCCCCAGAAGCCTTTTTTTAGAATAACCATAATTAAATTCCAGTAAGCACTTGGTTTTAAAAGATTTTAAGATAAGAAATATTTTAAAATGAGAAATAATAATTCACGGATATTATCATAGTTGAGATTTTTTTATTTTACTAGTACCTATAAAACTACGATAGCTCAATAATTACAATATATGACAAGACAATTGTTCCTACAGCTCACGAACTAAAATACAATGGACTTGAAACTACATGGTCGGGGGGTCGGGGGACGGCCACGAAAAGGTGTGTTTGCCTTTTGTACATACATTCTTAGCCTATTTCGTAGCCGTTATAAGCTGCTTGAATGGACTTACAATGTTATCAGTGCATCGGGACATTAATAGGTAAGTTGAACCCTGGCGACTTACTGCATATTTTGGAGAAAAAAACAAAAAGGAAAATTGACTTGATATAATAATTTATGAAAAATACATTTAAGGCACCCAGTGCCGATGCCATTTTGTCCTCAAAAATACACTCTGTGGAAATAACGATACCGCCTCATAGAACCAACCACATTTCATATTTATTTTTTTAATTACTAAAGGGAAATATTCTTTAGCCCGCATCGATCTCTATTTTTCAATATTTTATTCTCAAACTTTATAATATGCCTAGAAAAAAAAGAGATAAAAACATTTTTTTACACATTTTTTAGTACATTTATTTGAAATAAAATACAAAATCAGAGATCGATGTGGCCTGTAGGAAGTCTTTTTCTTTCAGATAAAAAAAATAGCCATCAAAATCCTACTATTCTACAAAGCCTGAGAGTTATTCCCGTGAAGTAATTTTTTTCGATATTATACACCCTATAAACCCCCCTAAATAGGTATCGGGTAGTAGACTAGTGGAAAAGTATAATAATTGAGGTGGAAACTAAAATATAAAATTTAATTTCCAAATTTTTTAGAATTGTGGCAAATTTGAAAAACTTGCAACGGGGCCATTAATCTTATTTAATTGTTTACTTTATTGTCTTTGAAAACCATTATTAAACCATTTACCTCATTTAATTTAAAATAATAAATTAATATAATATTATGAATAATTATGACATATGAGATTTAATGGTCGAGAGGGGGGGGGGGGTATTTCCCCCCACTAGAACGATAATATAAATTTATATCCCAAACCAGAACCAAATTAAATTCAAAATTACGCCACTGGATTAATATGATGGACGGAGGACACTATTGCATGTTTTGGACATTTTTAAACTATTGTGAAATAAAACAACTTGATTTTTAAAAATACTGGCATAAAATACTAGATCAATAAATAAGTAATAACGAATAACATGATATGCGAACACTATGATAAACGAAAAAGTATCTACCGATTTTCATTTCTTCGTACAATCTAGAATCTAGATGTCAATTATAGTTTTAACCTTAGTTCATATACGTAGGTATATGATGTATGTATATGTATATGATCTAAGGTTTTAACACAGTCTTATCACAAAGAGACTTATAAAATCTTACGTACCATATGCGAAAATTGGGCCAACCGTAGCCAAGCTCCACCAACAACAGCCCTCCCAAACATTTACTACAATTTTTTAAGCTTGTTCAATTTTATAATAGTATGGTTTTAGGCTTTGCCCCCTCCCCCCAAATCTCAAAATTAGCGCCTATTGTACCTAATCAAACATAATAGTATTAAAGATATTTTTCAATGTTATCCAAATATGATTTTTCCCGACAGTTTTATATGTACATTTTAGTTTAAAAAATGCAAAATATACACACATATGCGAAAAATCGCTCAAATGTACACTTTTCCTAAAATATGCAAATATATGCAAATTCAAACTTTGTTTGATAAGATATAATATAAAAAAAATGTATAAGACAAATTTATAACTTATCTAAAATAATCTACGACCACTACAATAAAACATGCAAGCAGTCCCGAACCGTATAAACAATATATTTATAAGGGGAAAATGTCAATAGGGGGTGTTTAAATCTGTGGGATCAATCCCCCCACATAGGCTGTATATAATATGCAAAATTTTTCGGAGTCCTAACTTAAGACCTCTAGCTTTAAAAGCGTGGCTACTGAATAAAACCATATCTCCCCTATGACAAAAACCTAAATACGCCACTGATTACTATTACAATTTACATTAGGTAGTATGTAGGTACTATAATTAGTAGTAGTACTATAAGATAGTATGATTTCGACATAATATATTATTATATGTAATTATATTACAAATTACCATTTTTAGATTTGAATGTTTGGTATTCGTTATAATATTTGATCGAAATAAAACGTGTGTAATATGTTTTAAGGATGTGGGCGTTGAATGATGTGAACATAGCAAATACGTACGAATCGAATGAATTTTGTATGCCAGATGATTATACCCTATCGTCACAGGTAACGTTGAAATACATATTTATATTAGATATAAATATAATATATTATAGGTACATTTTTTTTCAAACTGCTAATATTGTTATATAAAAACGAAAGAATAAACGACGAGAAGAACATTGCTCATTTTTGGTTTATATGTCGTTTCAATATTACATTCTTAGCTGCATGACCATCGATCGAAAACGAGTACAATAATTTATTATAATATAATATACATAATACTAATATAGTATTTAAGAGGACATCACACCCGCATGTGTTGTCTCCGTCTTACACAGATGATAATATAGACAAAACGTGATTACGCAGTCTTAATATAAATCGCCCAATTTTGGTTCTAAATTAAAAATATAAATTATAAAATTGAATTATGACAATTTATCTGAGAGCAAGTCGTTGTGTTTTTTCCATTACACCCAATATAACGTAAATTGTATCGTTTAGAAATAACAACAATTTCAACATATTAAAATACTTTTAACTTTTCAAGTTTTTTTTTAAAAACTCAATGTCTTTCCTTCTTAAATATGGTGGCCTTCTTAAATTTGTAATAGGTGTTTTTATTCTAACACCAAAATTGAACGAGTTCTACTCAGACTGCGTAAACGCGTTTTGTCTATGTCGTACGTGTGTAAGACGGAGACAACACATGCGGGTGTGACGTCCTCTTAAATACTATATTAGTATTATGTATATTATATTAAAATAAATTATTGTTTGCGTTTTCGATCGATGGTCATGCAGCTAAGAGTGTAATATTGAAACGTCATATAAGCCAGAAATGAGTAATGTTACTTTTCGTCGTTTATTCTTAGGTACCAACGTAGGTAGCTTAAGCTTTAGATAACGATAGTCCACTATAGACAATAGATAAAGATACAAAACCATTATTATAAAAAATATTGACAAAAATCAAATTATATTATTTTTTTTCTTCAGATGCAGTTATAATATGACTATTATAGGACTGAGGAATACTTAATTTAAACATAATATATTAGACAGCGTGATTCAACAAGTATGATCCACCCCTATTTTTTACTTTAAATTCTATTTAATGGCCTTTTTAAGTATAATTAAGATCCATTTTTTTTGGATAATACTGGTACAAACTTTTTTTTTTTTCAAATGAGAGTTAACATTTCTACTGTTAAGCAGTTAATTAAAAAAATTGATAGGTCTAAATCAAAATTCAAACGAGTAGTTTAGTCAAAAAGTAGTTTTTAAGTTATCAAAATGTATATTACACATTTACACTTGGGAATTTATGATATAGTCCTTAAAAACAATCTTTCAAAAATATAAAATACAAATGTAATAGTTATAATATTTAAATAACTAGTAGGGACCCACTTTTTAGATTCAAAAATTGTTTACAAATTATAAAATAATCGATATACCTAAGCATTATTCATTAATTACTAATTTATAAATCACCATAATAATGTATCTTCCAAATCTATAACATATCCTTAGTACACAAAGTAACGAATAGACATTTATAAAAAAAAAAATCCTCTGCTTAATAATTTACTAGCTTACAGTAAAATATGTTGGTTATCATATTTAAAAAAAAGTAGTTCATATCGACTAGGAGCGGCGATATACTCCTCCTTAAATTGTATAAAATAATCTCAAGAGTTTGAAAATATGGTAGTACTTAAAGTATTACTTTTAAGTACACATAAAAATTCCGAAAATCAGAATTTGAATAAATTCATTAATTATCAAAAGTGAACAAATAGGGGGTTAGAGTGGTTAGTGAAACATCATGCGTATTACATCATTGCCGGACAATATAATATTTTTATATTTTGAGTACATATATTAATGTGCATTGTATTACATTATATATTGACCATCTTAGTGGGACTACGACGGCAGCTACTCGACCAACTATAGCGAAAATGAAATAGATCTCGCCACCGTGTTGATGAACCTGAAGGAAGACCCCTCGCCGAACGGAAGTTGCAACGACCACCACGAACCGTCGTACTATGATCCGACGACGATGGGCGGCTATCAACAGCACCATCACCAGCTTCTGCAATGGCAATGCCCGTCTGACGAACAGCAGCAACACGTGTTCGTGTACGACTCGATGGACGGCGATCAAGCCCGCCCGACCAACGAGGACTGTTTACTACCCGCTATACTAGGTAAGTGTCTACTACGGACAACAGCTAGTGTACCTATATAATATTATGCTTAACTCACTGTCGGCTAGACGACAGACCGTTTTCGGAGGGGGCGGGGGCTTTGAGCATAAAGCGCGCCCCAAACAGTTCCGATCCCGATTAAACAGCTTATTTTGCTCTGACATTTATTTATTTCGATTCGGAAGCGAGTGTGTGCCTTTTTTCCCACGCCTGGTGCAGGCACCGAGAATACAGGTACATTTAACCACCTATAATGCCATGTGGGTGGGTGGGTAAAAATTAGGAGACGGGTGGATGAGGTTATCGTTTAGAAACAGTCAATTATTATCGCTTGCACCAGTGTTTTTTGGTCAGTTCTTTTTGTTACACTCTTAGGTATACTTTCCATGTTGTATCTTGTAAGGGCGGTTTGAATCCCCTAACCTCCACCCGTTTCTACGGCCCTGGCCTCCACAGGATACTCCTTGAGTAGTACAAAAAATCCTAAACAATTTTAAAATATGAATGGTCTTCGAGTATACTTAAAGATTCAAAATATCAGTTTCAATAAATTCATCATAATGTAAAAACGGCGGTGCGAGCATATTGTAAATTCACCCTATGTACAGTTCCACTAAAGGGGACAACAACATCAGCTGTTGTCTATTATGTTATAACGGGCAATTTTCGCGTTTGCAGACGCAGAAGTCGAATTTTTCAAAACAAGCAACGCGTCAATGGAGAAAAAGCGGGCGGGTCGGCCGCGCGGCACGAAAGCGAAACGGTCGAAAGCCGAGCCCAAACTGAGCAGGATATGGGAGTTCATCAGAGACCTGCTGTTGAACTCGCAATACTGTCCGACGTACATATGCTGGGAGAACTACGAGGAGGGTCGGTTCAGGTTCGTGCAGAGCGACAAGGTGGCGAAGCTGTGGGGCAAGTTCAAGCGCAACGAGAGGATGAACTACGAGAAGTTCAGCAGGGCCATGCGGTACTACTACAAGACCGGCGTCCTGTTGCCGGTGCAGGGCAAACGCCTAGTTTACAAATTCGGGCCAAAGGCCACGGGGTGGCACACGGACAATCCTAATTTCAAAAAGTATACATTTTAGACGGCGCCGAACCGGTCAACCGTACACGTTCATATACCTCTAGCTGTATCATTATAAATATTATTACATCGCATACGTATACCTAGGTATGTTATATTATTGTGTAATTATATAATATACGACGCCGGACGTTTGTGTGTTATTAGTATATAGTGGCTATAATACGGTACACTGCAATTTCTACGTTTCGTGCGACGTAAGTGCCTACCGTGTAGGTTGATACTTGATGAACATCATATTTCGAGCAAAAACTTGCTGATTGTCACGGAAAACACAAAAAATACCTATAAAAAAAAAAAAATAGAACATTTAAGTGAGCGTGACTGTTTTGTGCGACGAAATTGCAGGCATTTATTTACTTTAGTGATATATCGATTTTTTTTTTTTTTTTAATTGTTTATACCTTACTATACCAAGTTATTGTTTTAATATTATATTATATTATATTTGTCCTATAATCTACACATAATTATACTCTACTTAAGAATAATACGTTTTCACAACGTTTAATTTAAATAATTTTAAGAAAATCAGTGATTTTGTCTTAATTATTTGTGGTTGTAACTGTAATGATGTAAAAAATGAACAAAGGCTGACACAATTTAAATTATAACAAATTATAAAATTATTAACTATACATATTATTCACAGTTAAATAAAACATTAATCAATTGTATTGGAATCATTATTTTCAATCACTTATAATTTGACTATCATGTTCAAAATGCTTGCAGTGTTTCGATCTCATTTATATTAAATATCAATGTTTTAAATATATAATTTAAAATTACCAAAATATACATGTTTTTAAATTTTCTATAATATTTATTAATTATTATTAATGATAAAAATATATTTATATAATATAATATATTTTATATTAAAATCATGCATATAAAATGAAAATAATATTTAACAATTTTTACAATTAAATAGGTTGGTATATAATTATATATGCATTAGGTTTTTCAAAAAATATTGTTCACTTGCGCCTTAAATTATCTAATCTAGCTTGCAAGTCTGCATCAGCATCATTTGGTTGTGCAGCAGCAGCACCACCACCACCACCAGCACTACCACCGCCATCTTGAGCCACAATTGGTACTTTTCCAGTAGCCGCTATACTTATTGAGCCAGAAGCTGAGGGCAATCCAGACAATTGATCTGTAAGCTGAAGACCTAACTCATCTAGTACTTGTGTTACAATTTGATCTCTGAAATAAATATTTTAAATATAATGACAAAAGTTAATTTTAGCATTATAGCAATGGTAATAACATAGGTAATATAATATATTTAAGGTCTAAAGAACTCTTTTGTGCATATTAATATTTAATCTGTACTTAAATATTCATTTAAAAATGGACAAACAAGCATTTGTATTAAGTATTATAAAGTATGATAAATAAACTATATTTTAATCATTTATAATGATTAATAAGTATGTTATTCCTTTATCATGAAAATCTACTGATGTACAATACTTAAATGAGAAAATAATAGTATTTGAAATTCTATAATTTATGTAGAATTGCTTGATTGTGTTTATCAACTAGATACTAAGATCTATCATTGATGAGCAGCATTATATATGTAATAAATTTCTGACTAGATGAATTAATTTTCAGTTATGATAATTATTGCTATTTAAATAATCAAATTGTGAAAAAGTGGAAAATTATATGAATAATCATGATTTTTTCACTTATGGTAGGTATTACCATTGATAATAAAGTATTATAGTATTAATAGTTAATGGTATTACGATTGACTTTCAAGTATGATACCTATTTTATACTTATGTAAAACTTATATCTATTTCTGTATTTAGCACATTTCTCATTTAATACCATACTCTATTCAGTTTAAGAATGGCCGGTCCGATTAACATCTAGAAACTGAACATTTATCTCCTCTACTAGAGATTACATACATATCATGCTGAAACGATAGGCATACAATCATGGTCAACTTTAGCATTATAGGGTTCAGGGCAACATCCTAGCTCATTCAGTGTACATGCAACTGGCCATTCTTAAACTGAATAGAGTAATACAATATACATTATACATATCTTATCTTCAGACCTTACTTATAATTACAAAAAATTATTTAATCTTACGTTTCTTCTTCGTCTCCTTCGTCTTCCATCGCATCATCCATAGCATCATTCATTACTTCTTCCTTCATATCCATTACTTCAGACTGTTTTTCAAACTCTTGTAGTATCCTTTGAATTTGTGGTAAATTGAGTTGCCTATTAAAATATAAAATAGTTTAATTAATTGTGGACTATGTATTATCATAGAATAATAGACATACATAAGTACTAAGTAGCAATTCATATTTCTTGGTTATTCTTAAGAAAAACACTATGAAGAAGTTTTTGTTTAAGATATATTAGTATTATGAAAATATTATTAAGTATTTACCAAGATTTAATAAATATGAACTCGTTACAAAAAAATTATTATTATTTGTTTCTGCTGTATGATTATCATTAGAAACATCACAATAACAAAAGATTTACCTGTTCATATTTTGCATTGCTTTAGTCACGCCTTTCATTGCTTGACCCATAGCGTTTTGTGATTTAAGTGTTTGTATTTTTAAAGATACCGCTTGTATGTTAGCCTTCATCACCATGAATTTCTTTTGGTAACGTCTTGTTCTTACTAAATCTCTTGCCATGATTTTCACCGATTCCTAAATCCTCAAAATATTTATCTAAACTATTTAACTAACTAACATCTAATAAATACTTAGATTACTAAAATATACTTTTAAGGAAATGATAAATCAATTATTGGAATTAAAATGTTTAGGATCTATATTTTATGTAATATATTAGTTTGCCACACTTGACTCATACGTCGGAATCATGTATTTGATATTAATAAAAGCATGAGCTCCTCCATGTCTTTCAAGAATTTCTAAAGTATTATTCACCAAGTCCCCAACATCTTCTTGTTGATATTGAGCATAATCAATGCCATCGCCTGTATTTTTATTAAGATTCTTGTATACATTGAGGGGTGGTAATATTTGTCTATAATAGGGTACTAGAGCTTCTCCTACCATGTCAGCCGATGTTACTAAGGTTTGAACCATTTTCAATGTAGCTATAACTACATCTGGATGACCAGTGTTAAGTGCTAATTTTATTGGAATAATTAATTGCGGCACAACAGGCAGTATACGATCTGGTGTACCGTGTTTTAGCATATCTGTAGCTCCACGCTCTGCCACTGCACGGTATGGGTATGCAACTTCACGTAATCCATCAAAAAAAATTGGTAAATAATGGTGATAATCTATATTTTCAAATGATGTTTTCCACATAACTCGCCCACTATCGACAGACAACATAAAGTCACCTCTATCATAATAACGACGAAATGCAGTATTTCCAATTGGTGTTTGACATGAGCGTGATCGTGGAGGACCAGCTACAATTGTATTTGGTTGTCGTGATTGAGAACTAAAAGGTGGAACTATACGCTTTGTTCTTGACTTTATTGATTTCATTACACAAATATTACTAATAAAGATTAATACCCAATGAAGAAATAACCATTTTCACAAGGTTTAATAATTTATATTATTGACTTTTGGATAGTTAAGTAAAAATATAACTTAAATGTACTAGATATTATCAACTTATGTTTATACAGGTACTGAAGTACGTAGAACTATATTTTTTTTCCATACATAAATATATAATTTGGTTACTAGGATACAGATGATACAATTATTGATTAAATAAAAATATATAAAATACCTAGTTTTTTTTTTTTAATAAACATGTTTATTTGAAAGTATAAACATGCATACAGCTTATAAGTCATAGGTTAATGCAGATCCAAAAATAATTACATCAAACACGAACATATGGTAAAGAAGGAAGAAACAGTTCATTTTTGTCTCATATTAAAATTTAAACGTGTTTTAGATTATAGGTCATCAAAATAGAATTTAAAATTTATTGTAGATAGATACAATAACACCTCCTATACCTCATGTATTACAACATATTGTATGAATAGATTTGGTTATAGTTAGCATTAGACCTTAAAATGTTAGAAAAGACTAGTAATTTGGTGTTTTTGTTTAATTAAATGATAATTTACATTTGCATAGAGCAATAATTTGTTGATTAAAATGTATTGTTTGGCTACTACTTATTGTAGTAATAATACTTTTATATAACTTACTCTTTTAGTGTGATCTTGAAGTTATTTAAACAGGTAGATAGAACAATTGATATACGTTTAGTATGTGACCTACCAGACAGCGTGATCTACTGCATTGGGTATTCATTTAGTATTTTTAGTCAAAGTAAAAACCATACAATCACGTTATTTTATTATTATTATGAATTAGTGATACAAATATAAAATAATACAGGGCTGCATTTAATAATGTAAAAATCAGTTAAACAAAATATCAGTACAAAAAAAAAAATATACGAATATTTTTTTTATAATATTTTATCATAAAAAATTGTATTCTATTTAAAAATACGGTTTGTATATCACTTGAAAAACTTTAAAAAATGTATCTTGAATGTTAATAGATTAGTACCCGAACATTGTCCGTATATAATATAGATAATCTTTGTCTTGATAGTCACATACTAAATGAATACCCAACAATTGCATAATTGTTGATATCCAAAAAAATTATGTACTTCACAGTGAACCCATCAAAAATGATAGGGATAATTTATTAATAACTTAATAATTAATCCTTATGATGAAAAATCTATAGAATGTATAAATATGACTCACCATCTGTCCATCTTTAGCCATTTTCTTGATGTCCACAATGATTTTCTTTTCTTGCTGTTCCATTCTCATTTTTTCGCGATCCAAATCACGCATTGCTTTATTTAGAGCACGCTGATTCTTTCTCAACATCTCATCGGGCGACATCCGACGCCCAAATAACCAATCCAACGGCATACTGCTGCAGATTTTTATTCCAAATTGGTCTGCTACGAGAAGGGTTAATATCAACAATAATAAGGTTAACTGATTCAAATGTTGTAACAATTTAATTGATTTAAGTCATTAAATAAAGATATTTTTTCTATATTAAATAAGGTACGAAATGTAATAAATGAAAATTATGACTCACCAGTAACCACTCACCAGTTCTTCAAATTCTACTCGCGTTGTCGCGTCCTACAATATATTTTTTAGATATAACTATAAAGATAAAGAGAAAACACAAAAAAATATGAAAACAATACCTATAATATTGTCTATTTGTTTGTGTAACTCTGTTTTTGTTTCTTATCAGTAGTAAACATTACTCATCGTAAGCGTAAAAACCACGAACTAAGATAATATTATCTTAGTTCATGGTAAAAACCACGGTCTTAGATTATTAGGTCTGGCAACTAATCCCCGGTTATGAAGCTCTTATTGACGGGTCCCCGCTCTGGTGACGCCATCTACCGGCCAAGTATATTACTATTATTTCGATGATTGTCGACTAAAAAACTTTATGTAGGTATTGTGAAATTTTAACTGTATTTGATGATATCGTAGAAGGATTAATCACTAAATTAGAATCATTCACTTTCCCATGTGCAGAACATAAAGATTACATTATTTCTTATTCGATACAATACTACATATTACGTAATGCGACAGTACACGAGACAGTCAAATCAAGATAAATCTAAAGAAAACTTAAAAAAGAAAACAATTATCATCATTTTGTTAAACATAATAATAATAATACATATTAATTTACCTGTAAGATCTAGATTCTGGATATTTTAAATGTTGATATTTGGTATTTTTAATCATTTCATAATATTTTTTAATTTTTAGAATATAATGCTTTATACTTGTATAGCCTTTATAAGTATTTAGTATAATATTAATTTTTAGGTTTTAATGTTTTATAATTTTAAACTAGTGACTAAATACTAATACAATGAACCAATTGAACACTGCGATTATTAAGAACATTCTTTCTAAGACTATCTGTGACAAATTTATTTTTATTATATTTACATAGCAGGCAGATGCCCAAGATAAAATTTTAATAAAATATATGATAATATGCACTTACAACTCATAAGAGTATAAGACTATATATTAACAATTGAACGTTATGTATTTTTATGATAGATAATATGTTATAGTATTTACAATCAATATAGAATGGTAGTTATATGTACGCAATTACCAATTTAGATTGAAGTAAAAGCTTACACTCAGTGGCGTAACTAAAACTTCGATTGCCCGTGGCAAAATAATCCAGCCTAGGGTCTTGGTCTTACAAATTTGTAATACGAAGAGCATCCACTTACTCACACAATTTATATCTAGATTCACCCCTGCTATAAAAGGTAATAAATAATTAAAAACATATTTATTATACAATTATGAATAATTGGTCATTTTTTATTACACATATTTTTCTAAAAAAGATCTACCGTCTGAATTTTTAGTAAAGGATCCCTTAGATTTAGGTTTACTAAAACGGTAATTTGTTTTTTTAAATCGCCACATTTTTTTAAGGGCCCTCCCCAGCCCTCTGGGGCCCCGGGCCCGTGGCACCCTATCGGTACGCCACTGCAGTTATACTTAGTGATTACATGACATTGTTATTTATTAAAATATATACTGTATATTATTAAGGTATAGTAGGGGCGTCATATGGTAGGAAGGGGGTGCAGGGTGTACATTTGCACCAACTTTTTTTTAAAGCGCCTTCTTTGGCTTGCCAAAAATAAATAAAATCGCTGATATACCTAAGTGTTTTATATTATTTATATTTTATATTTTTTTAGCATTAAAAAAAAAAATGTATTGTACCAATTTTTAATTCCAAGAATGTTTGATGTGGTTTTCTGGTCCCACCAGTGGCGTGGTGAACGACGTTTACCTAATGCAATTGCTTAGCCCTAGACATTTTTCAGGGGGTGGGTACTCCTTGGCCCAGGTAAAGATAATAAAAAATATATTAAGAATATATTAAGAATAACAACCATCGGCCAAAAAAGATTGGAATCACTAATGCTTCTATCTTGGGAAAAAGATATTTCACCTTATTTAGAAGAAGCATTAGATAGAATGGGTAAATCTTCTCAACTGCTAGAAAAAGCTCTTTTATTTAAATAAATAAATAATTTTATATTTATGTGATAGTGTGACACTGTAAATAAAAAATGATATTAGTATATAACAATATACCTACCTATATTATTTTTTATGTATTGCGTTTTAATTATAATTAATCATAGACGTATAACGTATTATATTATACGTCTATGTAATTAATGCATTATGTAATCTATTTTCTGATAATACACTTACATATAAGCAAGGCTTATGTTTACTGCATAAAAGACTGCTTCAAAAGTCATCAGAGTTAATTGATAAGTATTTTAGGTTCTGAGTGAAACGATGAATGTATTGATTTTACAATGATGTGTGTTTTTTTTTTATAATTTATTTTTTTTTTTTAATTTTTTTTTGTGTCTGTCATCACGTTTTGGGATAGTAAAAGTGATTGGGTTTTCTTCAACAATAGCTTTTCTGATAGGAAAGTGAATCTAGTTGGTACTTTGGGGGGTCAAAAGTAAAAATTTCCCAGTAGTTTTCACAAGCACCGGGAAATACAACATAAAAATTAAGGAAAAACGGGAATTTTTACGCAAATCGGTTTTCCAAAAAATCGATTTTGGTTTTTAGAGTAACTCTAAAAGAAATTTTGAACTCGGTAGAGTTACACCAAAAACCGAATTCAATTTTCTGAAAAATCGATTTTGCGTAAAAATTCCCGTTTTTCCTTAAATTTTCTTTTGTTTTTCCGGCGCTTTTGAAAACTACTGGGAAATTTAAATTTTGACTTCCCCAATGCACCAACGATATTCACTTTCCAATCGAACAAGATACTGAAGTCGAAAATCGAAGCATTATTTCGACTACTTATCGTGTACACAGACACAAAAAAAATAAAAAAACACAAATCATTGTAAAATCAATACATTCATCGTTTCACTCAGAATCTATAACCTAGAATAATAACTATTTTAGTTATTTTGTTGTGATTGAATAATATTATTCGTGGGTACTTGAAACTTCTAAAGTGTACTATTATATATCTATGATAGTATCACGGTTTTTGTTGATGTATAACGCGTTATAAGTACCTAATGGATATTGTGATATGATTAATTTGGAATTTATTATAGGTACCTATTATAGGTCAAATTTTTGTTTAGTACCATAGATATGTATATAATATGTCTTATACCTACACTGACATACCGTCTCCGCTCAGAATCGTTTTTCTTATACAATGATATTATATCGTTGAATTCAAATTTAATATCATCCATTATCCAGTGACCCACTTGTACCCTACTATACAGCAGAGCGGCACCCACTTGCCCACCTTTTTAATTATACTATTACCTACTATTTTATGTATAATTAATTATTAAAGTATTATTTATAATAAATGTTTGATGACTTCCTACCTATAACAAAAATTCAAAATTAGCATATAGAAAATTATATATAGTTTGTGGTGTGGGGGGGGGAGTGGGTGGGTCATTACAATATTAATTTGCTTAGGGTTAGAAAGATGCTCGCCACGCCACTGGGTCCCACAATATTATAACTGATAAAATTATAACACAAATATTGTGAAGAAGGGTATTCATAAAATAAATTTATGATTTTATCAAGCTAGCTATATTATATATTTTGAGTATGGAGGGAAAAAAATGTATAGGTTAGGTATCTTATTATAAAGGTGTTTTATACCCATACATTTATTTACCAAGTGTAAAAGCACTGTAAATTGGTACCTATCTACCCCCCCCCCCCCCCCCCCCCCCCTATAAAAAAAGTTTTCTTTGTGGCCTGGTAATGATTTGAATGGCCTCCCAACATTTTGGCACCAAAAAAAAAAAGTTGAAATGACGCTCCTGGTATACACGTAAAGACGAATATCATTATCACATGATGGTCACTTGCAGTAGGTATATACATGCGATAATCGTTTAATAATAACTAAAATATTGTTCTCCCAAATTTTGAACCCTGTCACTAAATATTATTATCATAAGAAAAAAAATGCAAAAGGGTGATGGCTGAAACTATCATTTTAAATCTTGCCTACCTACGTAAGATTGCCTTTCCAAACATGATCGTGTGGTGTGATTAATGTATAGGGCATATGCCATATAGGCGTGATAGGCGTGCATTAGCAACCTTTAACAATTTTTATATTTAGAATAACTACTTTGATGCAATATTTTTGATAGTATGTAAGCTTTCCATAGGAAACTTTTTTGTGAAAACATTTAGATGAACAGTTCATATGACACATTTAATCATTGTTCTTAAAAGATTAAAAGCGATATTTTTTTTTAAATATATATAAACCTAGTCAAATTATTGTCATTTCATATAATAATTTTAAAAACAAATAATAATAATATGATGGTTCAATTATACTTATTGTAATCTATGTATGTGGAATAGTAATAGTGTATGGTGTGCCTCAATAATCTAAGCAACATCATGAAGTGCATCAAGTATTTGGATAATAGTAATATTGTTTCGATTGAATCCAATAAAATGTATAAGAGACTTCGAGATTATGTCATATTTACCAATTGTATTTAAATGTTGAATATCATTTATTGTATAATCTTTTCAAGTATACCTATTAAAATTTAAAACTATATATATTAATATTATTATCAGTAAAAATATATTATGTGTTCTATAATAATTTTATTTTCGGTTCATACTATTATACACTACCTATAACCTGTTAGAAAACGGTTATAATATATTTTACACCGTAACCTAGATGCAATGTAACTTAATAATAACATAATAATAACAATTATAAGATGTTTGAAATTTGTATATACAAAACCATTTTTCATAGTTACAGAAGTACAGTTTATAGAAATAATTTG